ACTTAAATGCATTAGATTGAATTTGCCTTGAAACCCATTGGAAGTGATCTATTGCACATTATATGCTCAATGTGGCATGTACTCAGTAAATATTTAATGATGAATGAACAAAGCATCAAAATGATTGTTTTACACAGCATTGTGTCACCTACAACACAAACACCCCCCCCACCCTAAGCCCCAACAATAACTTCTTAGTGAGGTGCAAATATAATTTGCTCTTATATATTGGATCAATGTTTATTCTTCAACTGCTTTTATGTTTTTCTATTTCACTGTCTGTCCTACAGCTAATTATTACCTGTGTGACCTTGGGCAAGTCTCTTTACTTCAATTTTCTGCTCTATAAAATGAGTGAACTGAATTAGAAAAAAATCTTTAAGGTTTTTCTAGTTCTATGATCCTATGAAGTCACTGACCCCAGCAGTTCTCCTGCTCTATATAGTTGCCATTTACCAGGAGGCATCATGCAGTAAAGGGTAAGAATAATGAATCTGGAATCAAAACACCAAGGGTCAAATGGCAGCCCCAACATCTATAAACTATTTAAGAGAGGGCAACCAAAAAGCCTTTCAGTGAGTTCCTCATACCAACTCTGTGAAGCAAGTAGGGTAAGTATCCCCATTTCACAAATGAGGAAATGGAGATTCAGAAAGTTTAACTAATATGCTCGGAGTCATCGAGCTAGTAAATGGCAGAGCTGGGACTCCAACTCAGCTTGGTGGACTCTAAGACCAATCCTTATTTCAGGACATCGAAGTTGTAAATCATTGGACATCAGGCTATTTGTGAGGTGAGGCCAAACTGATACTTAACTCTATCTGATTAAGCATTTCATCCCTGTTTCAGCCCAACTATGACACAGTAAATAGAGAACTGACTTCAGAACTGAGAAGATTTGGGTTCTAGTCTCACCTCTGACACTTAATGACTCTGAATCTGGGAAAGTCACTTGAACTCCGGAGTACCCCCAGAGCGTTCTCTGTGACTGTAAGTTGCAGGGTGGATGCCAATATACATGCATAGAAGAAGTCTCCTCACTCAAGAGTTCCTTGTATCAATGCATTCACTTATCTAGTCCCTACTCCTCAGCCCAGAAGCTAATTTCACTCATCTTACATAGTTCAATTTCAAGAAGTTGAGTTATTTGTCCCAGGGAAATTTTTAGGCAAACCTTATTTTATAATTTTATTCTAAAATTTTTATTCTCTATAGTACACTTCCCAGTATATTAAACAATAAATACCTTAGCCATTAGAACTTACATTTCAGGCCCCAGGAGTGAGACCCAGTACTTCACCCAACACAATGATGCAGAAGAAGACACAGATGATAAGGTAGTGAATAGGCAATCAGACTTTCATCAAAAGAGTTGAAGTAGCACAGGATACCATATCAGGAGTCTGAGATGACCTAGCCTCTCTGATAAAAAGCCGATGGTTTTCAACGCTGGGTTTGTAAAGTGGACACTATCAAATCTCCACAGCAGAAGACAGTGAAAATCAATTAATACCTCCATAAGCATTTATTAAGCACCTACTATATTCCAGGAATTATGTTAGGCATTGGTGATACAAGGCCAAAAATTAAATAGTTTCTGCCCCTAAGGAGCTTAAATTCCATTTGGGGAAATAACACATAAATATATAAATAAACAAACAATATGTATAAAATAATTTTGAGGGGGGATGCACTAGCATCTGGGCAGATAAAGAATGGTGTCACATAGAAGATGGGACCAGAGCTGATTTTTGAAGTGAGAGAAGGATTCTAAGAGACAAGAGTGAGGAGGAAGCTCTGTGCAGGTGTTGCTGGTGGTAGAGCCTGTGCAAAGGCTTGGAGACGAAAGATGGAATGTTGGGTATATACAACAGTAAGAAAGTAAGCCAGTTTGGGAGAAATACATATCATGTAAAATGGTAGTGTGTAGTGAGTCTAGTCTGGAGCCAAACAGTGAAGGATGTTGAATACCAAAAGAGTTTATATTTTATCTAGGAAGCTGCTGATCTAAAGATTGCAGTTGACAAGTGTTAGTTCCACAGAGTCTCTGTCGAGCATCTAACTCGCATACCGTTTCATCAGGGAAGGAATATTGAGCCTGAGAAGACAGAAATACTTATTGCCTTGGCCATATCTGAAGAATTTTGGGAAGCTAAAGACTTTCGCAGGATTTGGTGGTTACTACTAGAAGTTTACAAAAACAACTATGTCTACATCTCCAAATGTCGAAGTCCTATCACCCATGAATAAATGGTTTGGAAGAACCAAAAATAGAAAGGCAAAAAGAGGCAATCTGGCTTGAACCCTCTACCCATATTTGGCAATTTTTAAGGCAAGCAATGAAAGTAAGCCTTTAATCTCATAATTAAAATTGTTCTTACAATTTCTTTATTCTGAATTTAAACACCAGTGAAAGGCCTTTCCATACACAGCAGACTACAAAAAAAAAGAGAATTGTATATGAAACCATGAAATCTCCATTTCACACTGCTCATTCAAGATGTTACTTTCAAAGCTATCCTACTTCTTTGTGTTTCCTTCTGTTCTCTTCTGTGTATTTTTTTAAAAAAGTAAAATTATTCTATTTTTTACACCATTATTGCTGAGTTGGAGTTAGGCATGTGGCCCTTTGGGTTCATACATATAATGTTACCTGGAATGACACCACAAACTTCATTCTCTACCTGATGACATTTGGGCCTATTGATCTGTGCTTTGGAATTTTGGAAGATGGCAAAGTTATGAAGGCTCACTACCAGCATATATCACTTGGTTAAGATATTGGATTAGATTTAAAAGGAGATATCAATTAAGTATACCTCGAAAAGAAAGAAACTAGATATGATGTTAGAATTTACTGTCAGGAATGCTAGCTAGAGTATAGAATCCTATTAAGAAAATTAGTGTCTGGAGAAAACATAAGAAAATGGATTGATGGAGAATTGCTGCCAATAGTTGAGAGACTGGCTTATCTGCTTGCCTATAGAATAGTCCTTGAGAATAGCTGAGTACCTGAAAAAAAAAAAAGATGATCTATCCCAATCGTCTATTGTACACAGGGAAGACAAATTCATTGATAACCAGGAATACAGGACTAAAGGAGAACCAAAGAAGCAAGGTCCATGAAGGGACCATCCACTAGATACAGATGAATAGCCAATGCTTGATGATGGCCCATAGGAAAAGCCTTTTCTGGCCTTGATTGGGCCTGAGAATATGATAAAAAAACTTCTCTAGATGTAGAAGGGACTTCAGAAGTCATTTTGTCCAATCCCCTCATTTTACAGATGAGGAGACTGAGGCTGGGGAAGTTGAATGATAATCTATCTGCAGTGGATTTGAAGACCATAAATGCAGAAGGTCACCACAGAAATGCCAGGTTTATAATGATACTCACTGGTGAGTGCAACCATTCTGATGCTAGGTACTATATATTTGCATGTCACCTATATGTTTTATCTACTGTGTATAACTTTACTATGACACATTATGTGTTTTCTATTTTGATATGACTGCTATGTTGGTCTTTAGTTTGCCCTGTATTTGCACATCTGGTACAATTTGAAGGTATGGTTTTTTATTTTCTACTTGGAGGCAGTCACAATGTCACAGGGGTAAAATAAAGGAAAGCTTTTATTTTCCAATGTCCTGTGCAATATGCACACACCTATCCAATCATTTCATATGAAGCCCCAAACCCAAGAGTTCAACTTGATGGCATAGAATTAAGACTTTGAGTGATTATAGGACATTGTGGCAGTTTTGAGGGGATGTCACAGGGAGGAGATAGAGAAAGAAAGAAGGAGAATGGAATCATGACAGGGGGAAACAAGGGGTCTAGTCATAGGACTGACTGTGGGCAGGTTGGTAACCAAACTATGAGGGGGCAAGTCAGCAGAGCTGTCAAGATATTGCAGCTTTCCCCAGATGAATGTGAGGACCTGGAAAAAAGATGTACTAAAGAAGCAGAGAATGAGAATACCATCATTCAGGGGAATGATTACTGAGAATCTTTCTAGTGTTTGTTTCATTTGCTTTCCTGTTCCAATTAAATGCTTTTACTGATTCTGTGATGTGATTTATCTCGGTTTCTGTTATCACAATAATCACTGAATATTTAGAGCTGAATTAATTAGAAGTCCCTAGTTTCTTACTGTTGTGTTACCAAAAAAAAATATACTCCATAAACTTGACCCCAAGTCCATGACAATACAAAATCATACATTCATTATACATTCAAAAACAATTATTTCCACTACCAGAAAAGGAAGGGTCATTTTAATCAGGCTCTCCCAACCCATAAAGAGCTAACTGACATCAAGATGTTTTAAAGACTAGAAATTACAATGATCACTGTTTTTAAGAATTTTGCAACATTCCAGTTTGATGTCACTGGAATATTACAAACAAAAGCAAGAAATCACTGGTCCAGAGATCTATTGTTAGTGACTATGAGAGCATTTGGGGCCTTCTATCTCCAAGCATTTTTCTGCTGTCTGCTACCAAGTCTGAAGCCCTCATCTGCTCCAATTCATTTTTCATCACATTTGTATCAATTCGTTTACTTATTTGTTCACAGTTATTCATTCATTCACTCACTCACTTATCCTTTTATTTGTTCATTCATTCATTCAAGGTTCATTTATTTAGATTCAGACAATATATGAGTAATGTCCTTTAAGAACTCTTCAATGGTTGCTCATCCATAGTGTTGGGGACAGCAGTTTAAAGAGCCGGAGTCAGAAAGTGTTAAAGATAAATCTCTACTCTATTTCAAATCCCCAGCTAAATCCTGACTAGAAACCAAAGAATGGACACATTAACCCCTGAGCCTGCTAAAATGCTTTTTCTATTAGCAATTCCCAGCGTCAATTAATCCATTCAATCTCAGGGAATGGGCAAGGCCAGTTTCATAGTACCAGAGGCTCTGGCCTGGCCCATCAAAGAAACTCAGTAAGTAGACAACAAAAACCAATACTAGACTGAAAAGGGTTACTTACAGTGAATTTTGAAGTCCTTGTACTGTCTGTCTTCAATTGCTACCATGTACAAAGCTGCCCGGTCTGGAAACATAAGCCCTCCAGGTTTCTGTTGATGAATTGTGGGGAAATGGATCTCGTAATCTATTCACCTGACAAAGACATCACATTTTGAACTGCACATAGAAGAACTAGACAAAGCACCCCCACCGCCAATGCTTCAAGTTTTCCTGGTTTGTGGTGAGGACAGTGATGGCCTCCAGTGGAGCTTTGGGGCAAAGTGTGCACCAGGTGACTGCCACAGGCTGGACAGGCTCCTCTTCCAACTCACCCACCCCACCCCCAAGCACAAAGTTTATCACTTAACTCTTCCTGGAGGACTTTTGGAAGAGGAAACTTTAGAAAGAGTCAGGAGGAGAGAAATGGAAAGATGAAGGGGGATGCAAAAATAAGGCCAAGAGGGAAAAATGGGCCTTTTTCACTAGGAGGAAGCAGAGGTCGAAAGGACTTAATAATGCCCTTCTGGTCCTCTGGATGCTTAATACTCAATTAAGTTAATGCTCAATTAAGTTAATTAAACTTAATGTTTGTTGCCCTGACTTTTATCTGGACCAATTTCAACAAAAGTAGTCAGAGCTAAACATGCAGATGAAGTTTCCAGCTATCAAAATAGTTGCATATTGCACTAGACTTCACAGACAAAGGAGGCGGTGTTATGTCCACCTTCTCTGAAGAAGACCCTCTTCAGGGTTTGGGGGCCAAATGAGGTAACCGCTGAAAATCATTTCTGTCTTGAGGCATCTAGGAAGTCCCAGTGAGCAGAGGCACAAGAGGTTCTAGCCTCACTTTAGTCAAAGGACTGAGGCTCAGCTGGGGGTCAACCAGCAATCCAACAAGGAGGGTGACATGCAGGACACCTACCAGCCACTTGTCCCTGGCGAAGATCACTGTGTTAAGCATTGACTCATAGAAAAGACAATAACCCATCCACTCACTGATGATGATGTCTACCTTTTCCACCGGCAACTCCACCTCTTCCACTTTACCCTTAAATATGGTGATGACTGTTGGGAGAAAAAAAAAGATAAAAAAAATTTTTAAATCCCAGGAAGTTAATTGCAGAAGACCCAGATGCTAAACTATCAGTGTCAGTGTTGAGGCTGGCTCTCCCCAGAAAAGATTCTCTTCTGATTCTTTATGCAGAATGCCCCCAACCCACCTAGATTCAGTTTACTTTGGAGGAACTAACACTTTTTAGATGTGTTGCTTTAGATCGTTGTCACATGTCCCATAAAATTGTAGAAGCTCAGAGCTGGAAGGGACCCCAGAGGCTATCCAGTGCAACCACCACCTGAATATGAATTTCTACTCTAACATACCTGTTGAACACTCATCTAGCTGTACTTATAGATTTCCAAAAAGTAAAAACCTGCTACCTGCTAAGGGAGCGCATTCTCCTTTTGGACAGCTAGAATTGCTAATGGTCTGATAACATGCCTAGACTTGAATGCTTCAGTGATCTCCTCAATGTGAGTACTCCGCTTACAAAAGAACAATCCATCCACGTTTTCTCATTCTGAGCAACTGTTAGCCATGTCCTCCTGTGAATAATATAAAATAAATAAGGAAAGGAAGATGGGACTCAGATTGTAGAGGGTTAGAGCGGAAAGTTGATTCTGTATTTTATTCCAGAGGCAATAGGGTGCTGCTGAAGATCCTTAGGAGTCGGCCAAATATAAGTCTCCACATGGAATGTGGAAGTTTATGTTTATAGACAGTCTAAAAATTCTTTAAAAAAAGTCTGGTCCTCCTTCTTTCTGCCACTTTGCCACTACCACAGCAGAGGACGAAGAAGGTTGTAAAGGCAAAAGAACTATGTTGTTTTTTCTTTGTTTAATGGATTGTGCCAACCTACTGGTGAAGAGTCTCTCTCCTTAGCTTGGCTGGTCCTCAGGAAGCAGGCTTAGTTTGTGGCTAGGATCATATTTGATGCCTTTCCAACATGGCAGAACTTGCAAGGCACCATGCTCTGTTGGTATAGCCTTCTAGACTCTCAGATCAATTCTCTGCTATGATAAATCAGGAGAAAAGTATTTTTATAAAAGCTTAATAAAGTTTCACCCACTGTGGCTTCCTTTAGGATAGAAACCATAGAGAGACACAGACCAATACAGTCCACTTCATTTATGGACTAAGCACACACAGTGTGACATGTATTCAAGCTTTTTGCTTATCATTATCTAACTCCACTCTTACTTATCATTGGATCCTTTCCCTACTTATCCACCCACAGCCAGGAGAGAAAAAAGCAGAGAAGATAAAATGGGGTGTCTCCTCTCATTGAGGTTTGGTAGAAGATTTTCCAGGGACAGGCCACCAAGACTACACTGAAGTTAAGCTCTGGGAAGTTTTGGGGGAACCATTACCATGAGAGGTCAACCTGACCAGACCTCACCAGTAACACTCACAAAGATCGTCCAAATGAGGTTAGGGTAATCCCTAATTAATTTATTATTCTGAACAGAACCAACAAATGTTTATGGGGTTTATCCATTTATTAATTTACCCCCAGAGCTTGTTTGTCTTCTTGTGTGTGTGTAAACACAATTTTTCCAAATTATAATAGCACTTAGAAAAAAAGAATTATGGAGCTTAAGAGCTGGAAGGGGCCGTAAAGATCAAATAATCCACCCCCTCATTTTTTAGATAAGGAAACTGAGAGGGGAAGGGAATGGAAAGCTAGGTCTTCTGACTCCAAGTCCTGAGATGTTTGCGCTAATGTCACACTGATACCCTAAAGGCTACCTATAAAACTCAAAAGAGGGGCAGCTAGGTAGCGCAGTGGATAGAGCACCGGCCCTAGATTCAGGAAGACCTGAGTTCAAATCTGGCCTCAGACACCTAACACTTACTAGCTGTGTGACCCTGGGCAAGTCACTTAACCCCATTGCCTAACCAAAAAAATAAAATAAAATAAAATAAAATAAAGTGTAGAATTGAAGAGGAGAGGGATCTATTAAAAAGAACAAAAACTCAAAAGAGCCAGATGGAGGCACAAGGGTATGGGCTGCCCTGCATTATGTGGTGAACTCCCTTCCTGCCCTTACCTTCCCTCCATGATGCCCAGAACTTGGTATTACACACAATATGCATTCTCCCAGGGCCAGTGCTAGGGATGACTGAATGACCACTCCCACAATTGCCAGGATCACTGTATAGATGGAAACCATTTGCAGCAAACACCACTAATTAGGTTATTTCATCTTTGCAGAAAGATAAAAAGAATCAATCAGCCAAATAAAAGTTCTACTACATGGCACTGTGAAATCATGGATGAAGCACTAGAGTTGGAGTTAAGAAGACCCATGTTCAAATCCTGCCCTTGGCATTTACTGGCTGTGTGACCCTGGGCAAGTCACTTACAACCTTTCTGAGTCTCAGTTTCCTCATGTGTAAAATGGGGATAATAATCCCTGTAGAATATCCCTTACAGAGTTGTGAGGATTGTTTGAGATGCTTTAATGTAGGCCTGTGGGCCAATGTGACCCACAATACTCCCAAGTGAACTAGATTAAAATGTAATTGGAAAATATTTAACAAAATTGATCTAATGCATATGAGGTTCTTTGTAAACCTTACAATGCTATCTAAATGTCAATTATTACCATATCTTGCCAACAATACAGTACATTACAGCATGGTCTTAGAGCTGAGAGCAGAAAATAACTGCAGCATTCTGTTAAACCCTGAGAACCACAGAATTGAAAAACAAAGACCTGTGGTGTGAAGGTGTCAGGGGCAGAAAGCTACTTCTAGTACTTCATTAGGTCCTCTATCTCCCAAATTATTTAGCCATCATCAAAGTGGGTCTTTGGTACTGGTGATTGAATGTGGGACATTAGTGGTAGACTCAGCCCTTGATGGGGTTTGTGAGAGTGAGCCAAGAACTGGGTATTCACTGTTATAGAAAAAGAGGCTGTGAATGAAGGAGGGGAAAGGGGAACATGATGGAGTCAATGAGTGGGAGTCAGGATATGTTACTATGTGACCCCACCGCCCTGTTATGGGATAAGTGCAGGTTGTCCAGCAATGGAACCCAGAGGTAAAAATGCAAGGACCACAACAGTTTATACTGAGCTCCAAATGCAGGGATTTGGCATCTTGAATTATGAGGGTAAGGATAATGAATCCTGGAGGGGAAAAGGAGAATGCTAAGAGAGACCAATGCTTTGCGGTCAGAGATTTTATAAAGCTCTGAGTGCCAGGGTAGAGATATTTGTATTCTTATGCAGAGAAAGAAATGTTTGGGAAGCAATAATGAAAAAATCCCTGCCAAACACATGTCTAAATGCCACAGTTCTGAGCCTCTAGTCACCTCCCCAGGGAAGGGAGGAATGTGGGAAGGGGTGGGTCACAAACAGATATAGAGCTCAGGTGGATCTGAGATTAGTGTGACATCAAATGGCCCATAACATCATCATCACCAGCTCTACCATGGAAGCAGTCAACCTTCCCCTTCCCCGGTCTCCATAAAGGATCTGATGGCTGCAGTAAGGGAGCCAAGGGGAACAGTTGTGGTACTGTCAGCTGGCCATTTGGAAACTGGTGGAGCAGCAGATGAGTCTGGGCCAGAACACAGACTACTTCCCAGGTGGCAGTGCTTCAGGAGAAATGGGAGCCAATGGAAGTGTTTTTCAACAGCCAGGCTAGCCTGCAACCTAGGCATTTAGGAGCTAGTTGGCATAGGCAGACATTCCAGTGTTTTGGAATATGGGCTATGATTGAAAAACAGGAGTCTCTAAGGAAGTAGCAATAGAAATATCTTCAAGGACAAAGGTCACAGATCCTCAGAGTGAAGCCATTTTGAACCAACACACCCCATATTTTCATGAAAGGTCATGGCCCTTTGTTGGCTTGTTGGTATAGGCAATTCTACCTTTACCTCAACAGAAGACCTCCATCACAATTCTCAAATCCACTACATATACCACCACACTAATTCTGATCCTCATTACCTCTGGCGTGGACTATTGCAATAACCTCCTAAATAATTTCCCTGCTTCTGATCTCTTCCCTCTCAGATCCATCCTCCACACAGTTGCCAAAATCACATTCCTTAAACACAAACCTCATCATGGTGTTTCTCTGCTCAAAAATCTTTGGGAGCTCCCCATTGCCTTTAGGATGAAAATAAAATATCCTCAGCCTGGCATTTAAAGCTCTTCATTGTCTTGATCCAACCCAACTTTCCTGACATTTTATATTATTCCAGTAAAAATGCACCTCCCTGCCCCACTCCCAAGCATCTTCTTAACTTCCTGCCTTTTGTCTTGTCCCTGTTCCTCTGTTTGGCATGACACTGCTGTTCCCTGGACTCAGCATTCTGTCTCCTCTCTCTATCCTTAGTCACAAGCTGTTCCCCATGACCAAAATGTTCTCCTTTCTAAATGCCATCTCTTAGAATCCCTAGCTTCCTTCAAAGCTAAGCTCAGATGCCACCTCTTCCTTGAAGTCTTCCTTGATCCCTCCTAGCTCTTAGTGCTTTCCACCTCTCCAAATGATCTCATAGTTATTTAATTATGTGCATGTTGTATCCCTCCAGGAGAATAGAAGTTTCTAGAGGGCAGAGACTGTCATTTTGTTTCCATATCCCCAGTGTCTAGCACAATGCCTTGCATATAGTAGGTATTTAATATATTTATTGAATTATTGAATTATTGAATGACTTGACCAATTATTGAACAGAAACTTGAGTAATGTTCCTTTTGCAGAACACAGGGTGATAAGTCTGACAGGCCCGCCTCTGATTGCCCTATAACAAATTAAAGTCCAATTCTATGTTTTTTGAGAGGATAGAGGTAATCAGTAGTTAAAATGAAATTGGGATTGGAAATGAATATTTTTATATCCTGGGAGGAGGGGAATAAGGGAAGACCTGCATCTGAATTGAAGAGACCCTAGACCAGGTCCATGGACCTGGAGGATTCATAGATAAATTTCAATGGGTCCATGAACTTTGATAGGAAAAAAATTACATTTTTATTTTCACTAGCTTCTAACTGGA